AAAAATAAAAAATACACTACAACGCATGCACATAACCACATTGTTCCCCTGACATTAAGTCCAGTCGTATCCGACTTGGGGTGGGGGTTGGTGCTCATCTCCATTTCTAAGCCCACGAGCCGGCATTATCCATAGATACCTCCAAAGTCATGTGGCCGGCATGACTGCTTTGAGCACCATTACCTTCCCATCAGAGATGTACCTATTGATCTACTCACATTTACATGTTTTCGGATTGCTAGGTTGGCAGAAGCTGGGGCTAACAGTGGGAGCTCATGCTGCTCCTTGGATTCGAACCTGCGACCTTTTGGTTAGCAAGTTTAACAGCTCAGTGGTTTAATCCACTGCGCCACTGGGGGCTTTGGCATAACCACATGTGTATTTATGCATAACCACATAAATACCCATATACACAAATATATACACACACAAAACACATACACACAGACTGGGCCACAGCAACGTGTGGCAGGGGACGGCTAGTCTTCCATAAATAAATACAATCAGGGATTTAGAGGTCAGTTAAATGATGTCATGAACAATGCCACTGCTTATAACATGCATGCAGAAGGTTATTTAGGTTCTGAGTGCCTGGAGATGTTTGGGGTTATTTATTTATTTATTTATTTACAACATTTCTATGCCACCCTTCTCACCCCGAAGGGAACTCAGAGTGGCTTACAAGATGCAAAATATTATTACTATTATTATTTATTATATACAATATATTATTATTATTATTATTATTATTATTATTATTTCGTGTCAGGAGCTACTTGAGAATCTGCAAGTTGCTTCTGGTGTGAGAGAATTGGGTGTCTGCAAGGACATTGCACAGAGGATGCTGCCCAGATGTTTTGATGTTTTCCCATCCTTGTGGGAGGTTTCTCTCATGTACCTGCATGGGGAGCTGGAGCTGACAGAGGGAGCTCAACCCGCTCTCCCCGGATTCAAACCACCGACCTTCAGGTCTTCAGGGAGTTGAAGTCCAGAACACCTGGAGGGAGGGTCAAAGTTGGCCCATGCCTGCTATAAATCTTCCACATGTGACATCATATATGATGGAGTACGCGTTTTGATTCTCCAGTTGCAGTGCGACCAACAATACGATTAATCCATGAGCCTTTTCATTGATGATATATGCGCAATGCATTTTCACAAAGCGTCTCCTGGGGATGCACCTGCAGCATAACACCAGTGCAGATTTGATGCACGCAGGCAATCCAGCTTCCTTTCCCCTTTCTACATGTATATATATGTATCGTGACGACTTCTCTGCGTCTGTCTCTCCAGTGGAGCAAATCACTGACGTGGTCCTCTATTCCCTGGACAAGTACACCAAGGCCGTGTGCACGGAGGAATTCGCGTAAGTGGAGGATGGAAGGCAGGGAGGGAGGGGACTGAATGAGGAGGGGTGGGTGGTCTAGGTGGCCTTTGGGGACCCCCCCCCCACTCCTCCTCCTCCTGGCCTTCCCTCCCCAACAGTGAGAACGTGGCGGCCAACTCCACCTTCTCCAAGAGCTACAGCGTGACCCCCCTCCTGAGCAACAACCGGGAGAAGCGGGGCCTGGCCCTCGACGGGAAGCTCAAGCACGAGGACACCAACCTGGCCTCCACCACCGTGTAAGGAAAGCCCCGGGGGGGGGGGGGGGGGTGGGGGGGGGACACTCCTTTCTGCCAATATTCCAATGATTATTTTTATGATTTTCTTTTTACGATATTTGCCGTTTTTAAATTTTGTGAATTATTTGTGTGATTATTTTCTGCAAATATTTGTACGATTATTTTGGTGAACATTTTAATTAATATTTTGGGATTATTTTTGTGAATATATTGGCTATTTTCAATTTTTTGTGAATATTTCTGCTAATATTCTTATGATTATTTTCAGCTAATATTACTATTGGGAATAATTTTGGTAATAATTTTAGGAATATCTTTTGGGAATATTTTTATTATTTCTCCAAATATTTTTGTGAATATCTTTATGATTGTTTACTATGTATGTATTTATGTGTATGTATGTATGTGTACATATAGGTGTGTACACACACACACACACACACACTCAAATTGCCTGTATTAGGTATTTATGTAATACTAGTGATTGCAAATAGTCATTGATTTTTAAATTTTATGAAAGGACTGGTTGAAATCCATCATCAGTGGGAGATACATTGCTCTCCAGGTGGAATTCCACTGCAGCTTCCATCATCCTCTATCAGTTCCACACCCCACGCCTCACAACTATATGTTATATTATGATATGTTGTTGTTCATTCGTTCAGTCATCTCCGACTCTTCGTGACCTCATGGACCAGCCCACGCCAGAGCTCCCTGTCGGCTGTCACCACCCCCAGTTCCTTCAAGGTCAGTCCAGTCACTTCAAGGATGCCATCCATCCATCTTGCCCTTGGTCGGCCCCTCTTCCTTTTGCCTTCCACTTTTCCCAGCATAATTGTCTTCTCTAGGCTTTGCTGTCTCCTCATGATGTGGCCAAAGTACTTCAACTTTGTCTCTAGTATCCTTCCCTCCAGTGAGCGGTCGGGCTTTATTTCCTGGAGGATGGACTGGTTGGATCTTCTCGCAGTCCAAGGCACTCTCAGCACTTTCCTCCAACACCACAGCTCAAAAGCATCTCTCTTCCTTCGCTCAGCCTTCCCTAAGGTCCAGCTCTCACATCCGTAGGTGACTACTACAGGGAAGACCATGGCTTGGACTAGGCAATGGATCTTGGTTGCCAGTCTGATGTCTCTACTCTTCACTATTTTATCGAGACTGGACATTGCTCTCCTCCCAAGAAGGAAGCGTCTTCTGATTTCCTGGCCACAGTCTGCATCTGCAATCATCTTTGCGCCTAGAAATACAAACCCTGTCACGGCCTCCACCTTTTCTCCCTCTATTTCCCAGTTGTCAATCATTCTTGTGGCCATAATCTTGGTTTTTTTGACGTTTAGCTGCAACCCGGCTTTTGCGCTTTCTTCTTTCACCTTGATTAGAAGGCTCCTCAGCTCCTCCTCGCTTTCGGCCATCAGGGTGTTGTCATCTGCATATCTGAGGTTGTTAATGTTTCTTCCAGCAATTTTCACCCCAGCTTTGCATTCATCAAGCCCCGCACATCCGCATGATGTGTTCTGCATACAAGTTAAAAAGGTTGGGTGAGAGGATGCAGCCTTGCCGGACGCCTTTCCCAATCTTGAACCAGTCTGTTGTTCCGTGGTCAGTTCTGACTGTTGCTACTTGGTCCTTGTACAGATTCCTCAGGAGAGAGACAAGGTGGCTTGGGATGCCCATCCCACCAAGAACTTGCCACAATTTATTATGATCCACACAGTCAAAGGCTTTAGAGTAGTCAATGAAGCAGAAATAGATGTTTTCTGAAACTCCCTGCCTTTCTCCATTATCCAGCGGATATTGGCAATCTGGTCTCTCGTTCCTCTGCCTTTTCTAAACCCAGCTTGAACATCTGGCCACTCTCGCTCCATGTATTGCTGGAGTCTTCTTCCTTGCAGGATCTTGAGCATTACCTTACTGGCATGAGAAAATAAGGGCCACTGTACGGAAGTTGGAGCAGTCTTTTGCATTTCCCTTTTTTGGTATGGGGATATAAGTTGATTTTTTCCAGTCTGATGGCCATTCTTGTGTTTTCCATATTTGCTGGCAAATGGCATGCATCACCTTGACAGCATCATCTTTTAAGATTTTAAACAGTTCAGCTGGGATACCGTCGTCTCCTGCTGCCTTGTTGTTAGCAATGCTTCTTAAGGCCCATTCAACCTCACTCCTCAGGATGTCTGGTTCTAATTCATTCACCACACCGTCAAAACTATCCTCAATATATTATCCTTCCCATACAGATCTTCTGTATAGTCTCGCCACCTTCTCTTGATCTCTTCAGCTTCTGTTAGGTTATGATATATATAGTTTAAAAATATAAAATATCTATATTATATACTACATTATTTTATTGTATTTTATTATGCTCTATATATTATATTGTATTTATACACTATATTAAGCACTATATATATTTCAAATATAATATATCTATATTATATATATAGACACTATATCATATTATTATGCTATATCATGTTACACTCCGTAAGGAACTAAAGACGCGGATGTCCTGTTGTGCATTCGATTGACGATTCCTTGGACAGGCGGTCCCTAACCATGACCTCAAATCAAGTCCCTGTATCTGATTTACTTTTAAGATAAAGTGATCCGCTCCCAGCGGCTCTGTTCCTATCCTGCGATCTGTTCTCTCCACCTTTTGACCTCTTGGTTGTATGCTGTTTTAATGTTTTATTTGCTTTGTTTTAATTGCATTTTATTTGGGGCTTGGCCCCATCCATGTAAGCCGCCCCGAGTCCCTTCGGGGAGATGGAGGCGGGGTAGAAAAATGAACTTCTTCTTATATTATACTACATTATGTTATATATAGAAAATAATAGATTACACAATTAAAGCATCTATATTTTATATATATTATACTATATTATTATACTATATATTGTTATCTATATAAATAAAAATGTCATGTTCGTTTGTGGGATTAACAGAACTCAAAAACCACTGGACGAATTGACACCAAATTTGGACACAAGACACCTAACAACCCAATGTATGTCCTTCACTCAAAAAAATTGATTTTGTAATTTGGGAGTTGTAGTTGCTGGGATTTATAGTTCACCTACAATCAAAGAGCATTCTGAACTCCACCAATGATGGAATTGAACCAAACTTGGCACACAGTTCCATGACCAACAGAAAATACTGGAATGGTTTGGTGGGCAGTGTCTTTTGGTTTTGGAGATGTCCCCACATCCAGAGATCACTGTGGACTCAAACAATGATGGATCTGGGCCAAACTCTACATGAATACTCAATATACCCAAATGTGAACACTGGTGGAGTTTGGGGAAAATAGAATCTTGACATTTGGGAGTTGTAGTTGCTGGGATTTATAGTTCACCTACAATCACAGAGCATTCTGAACCCCACCAACGATAGAATTGGGCCAAACCTCCCACACAGAAAGCCCATGACCACCAGAGTCGGCCACAGCAATGCGTGGCAGGGGATGGCTAGTATAAAATAATAATTATGTATATTAAATATATATATGTGTGTGTGTGTGTGTGTGTGTGTGTGTTATATTATACTATATGTTCATAATAATAATTTATATACCACCCTAACTCCTCAAGGAGACTCATTATATAAGCTGTCCCCTGCCATGCGTTGGCCAGTCTGGTGATTTGGAAAATAACGTAATGAGAAAGTGTTGGTTTCTAATCTATGTCATGTCTTTCTGCTTGTGGGTAATCAGTATTTCTTGCTGTTTCTTGTCAGTGTTGATGTGGAGATTGTCTGGTTTGCCCTCTGGAACATGCAACATATAATTGTCCTTCTTCAGGGGTCCCTTTCAAATCTATGATACTATATCTGTGTGAGTGTGTGTGAATCATATCTATCTATATCTATGGCTGGATGGCTCTTCGTCAGGAGGGCTTTGATTACGTTTTCTTGCCCTGGTGAAGGGAGTTGGACTGGATGATGGTCATGGGGGTTCTGTGTGGGAAGTTTGCCCCAATTCTGTCATTGGTGGGGTTCAGCATGCTCTTTGATTGTAGGTGAACTATAAATCCCAGTAACTACAACTCCCAAATGTCAAGGTCTATTTTCCCCAAACTCCATCTGTGTTCATATTTGGGCATATGGAATATTTGTGCCAAGTTTGGTCCAGACCTCATTGTTTGAGTCCACAGTGCTCTCTGGATGTAGGTAAACTACACCCGAGCATCCATCACTCTCGACAACATTATTCAGGTGGACATTATGTCCCACAAACCTCCCTCTCTTTTAGTGTTTTTGTTGGCATGGAGTGTGTGCTAAGCACTGGTTCAATTCCATTGCTGGTGGAGTTCAGAATGCTCTTTGATTGTAAGTAAACTATAAATCCAGCAACTACAACTCCCAAATGGCAAAATCAATTGTTTTGAGTGATGGTCACTCCTTGTGTTAGGAGGGGCTGCGGCCAACCTTCCGTCCCTCTTTCTCCTTCGCCTTCCTTCCCTTCTCTCCCTCTTTCCTTTGTTTCTTCCTTTGCTCTTTGCTTCCATCCCTCCTTCTCTCTTTCCTGCCTTCTTCCCCGCCCTCTTTCTTTCTTTCTCTTTCTTTCTTCCTTCTCTTATTTTCTTTCTTTCTTTCCTTCTTTCCTTTCTCCTTCCTTCTTCTTTCCTTTCTTTCCCTTCTCTCCCTCTTTCTTCTTTCTTCCTTTGCTCTTTGCTTCCATCCCTCCTCTCTCTTTCCTCCTTTCCTCCCCTCTTCTTCTCTCCTTCTTCTCTCCCTTCCTTCCTCCTTCCTTTCCTTTCTTTCCTTCTTCTCCTTTCCTTTCTTCTCTCCCTCTTTCCTTCCTCCCTTCCTTTCCTCTTTGCTTCCATCCCTCCTTCTCTCTTTCCTGCTTTCTTCCCCGCCCTCTTTCTTTCTCTCCTTCCTTCTCTCCCTCTTTCCTTCCTCCCTTCCTTTGCTCTTTGCTTCCATCCCTCCTTCTCTCTTTCCTGCTTTCTTCCCCGCCCTCTTTCTTTCTCTCCTTTCTTCTCTCCCTCTTTCCTTCCTCCCTTCCTTTCCTCTTTGCTTCCATCCCTCCTTCTCTCTTTCCTGCTTTCTTTCCCGCCCTCTTTCTTTCTCTCCTTCCTTCTCTCCCTCTTTCCTTCCTCCCTTCCTTTGCTCTTGGCTTCCATCCCTCCTTCTCTCTTTCCTGCTTTCTTCCCCGCCCTCTTTCTTTCTCTCCTTCCTTCTCTCCCTCTTTCCTTCCTCCCTTCCTTTGCTCTTGGCTTCCATCCCTCCTTCTCTCTTTCCTGCTTTCTTCCCCGCCCTCTTTCTTTCTCTCCTTCCTTCTCTCCCTCTTTCCTTCCTCCCTTCCTTTCCTCCTTTCTTTCTCTCCTTTCTTCTCTCCCTCTTTCCTTCCTCCCTTCCTTTCCTCTTTGCTTCCATCCCTCCTTCTCTCTTTCCTGCTTTCTTCCCCGCCCTCTTTCTTTCTCTCCTTCCTTCTCTCCCTCTTTCCTTCCTCCCTTCCTTTCCTCTTGCTTCCATCCCTCCTTCTCTCTTTCCTGCTTTCTTCCCCGCCCTCTTTCTTTCTCTCCTTCCTTCTCTCCCTCTTTCCTTCCTCCCTTCCTTTGCTCTTGGCTTCCATCCCTCCTTCTCTCTTTCCTGCTTTCTTCCCCGCCCTCTTTCTTTCTCTCCTTCCTTCTCTCCCTCTTTCCTTCCTCCCTTCCTTTGCTCTTGGCTTCCATCCCTCCTTCTCTCTTTCCTGCTTTCTTCCCCGCCCTCTTTCTTTCTCTCCTTCCTTCTCTCCCTCTTTCCTTCCTCCCTTCCTTTGCTCTTTGCTTCCATCCCTCCTTCTCTCTTTCCTGCTTTCTGCCCCGCCCTCTTTCTTTCTCTCCTTTCTTCTCTCCCTCTTTCCTTCCTCCCTTCCTTTGCTCTTTGCTTCCATCCCTCCTTCTCTCTTTCCTGCTTTCTTCCCCGCCCTCTTTCTTTCTCTCCTTCCTTCTCTCCCTCTTTCCTTCCTCCCTTCCTTTGCTCTTGGCTTCCATCCCTCCTTCTCTCTTTCCTGCTTTCTTCCCCGCCCTCTTTCTTTCTCTCCTTCCTTCTCTCCCTCTTTCCTTCCTCCCTTCCTTTGCTCTTTGCTTCCATCCCTCCTTCTCTCTTTCCTGCTTTCTGCCCCGCCCTCTTTCTTTCTCTCCTTCTTCTCTCCCTCTTTCCTTCCTCTCTTCCTTTGCTCTTTGCTTCCATCCCTCCTTCTCTCTTTCCTGCTTTCTTCCCCGCCCTCTTTCTTTCTCTCCTTCCTTCTCTCCCTCTTTCCTTCCTCCCTTCCTTTGCTCTTTGCTTCCATCCCTCCTTCTCTCTTTCCCGCCCTCTTTCTTTCTCTCCTTCCTTCTCTCCCTCTTTCCTTCCTCCCTTCCTTTGCTCTTGGCTTCCATCCCTCCTTCTCTCTTTCCTGCTTTCTTCCCCGCCCTCTTTCTTTCTCTCCTTCCTTCTCTCCCTCTTTCCTTCCTCCCTTCCTTTGCTCTTTGCTTCCATCCCTCCTTCTCTCTTTCCTGCTTTCTTCCCCGCCCTCTTTCTTTCTCTCCTTTCTTCTCTCCCTCTTTCCTTCCTCCCTTCCTTTCCTCTTTGCTTCCATCCCTCCTTCTCTCTTTCCTGCTTTCTTCCCCGCCCTCTTTCTTTCTCTCCTTTCTTCTCTCCCTCTTTCCTTCCTCCCTTCCTTTCCTCTTTGCTTCCATCCCTCCTTCTCTCTTTCCTGCTTTCTTCCCCGCCCTCTTTCTTTCTCTCCTTCCTTCCTCCTTCTTTTTCTTCCATCTCTTCTCTCTTCCTCTTTCTTTCCCCCCTCTCTTTCTCTCCTTCCTTCTCTCCCTCTTTCCTTCCTTCCCTCTCTCCCTCTCGCCTGGGCACTGGCAGGAAGGGAGCCTGGCTGTAGCCCTCAGCCTTGCTGGGCCAGGCGTGGAGCGGGCGGGGGGTGCTTTTCGAGGCCGGCCTGGCTCCCCCAGCGCCGCCCCTTCTTCTTTCCGCCATGGCCGCGGGCGCCTTCCCGCCTGTTTGCCGGTTGGGAACACAGGCGGGGCCACGGGAGAGGCGCCCTGCGGCTGGGGCAGAAGGAAGAAGGGGCCAGGGCTTGGGGAGCAAGCCCCACCTCAAGGAAGGCCCCCCACCCCTGCCGGGCCCGGCAAGGCTCCCTTCACGTCGGTGCCCAGGCAAGAGAAGGCGAAGTCATGGAGCAGCCGCCCGCCCGCCCGCCTCACCGGGGGAAAAGGAGGAGGCGGAGGAGGGGTCCCTGTTTGGTGGGGCCAAAGAGGACAGAGACTGGGGGGGGAGGTCAGGAGGGCCCACGCGAGGCCCCAGCGTGGCGGAGGAGGAGAGGCCCCAAAGCACAGCTTGCTGCTCTGGGATCCCGGGACCCGTAGTTTGGCCGGGCACCTGTCCTCCTCGGCAGAGACGGCTTCAGCAAGGCCGCATGAAAGTGCCGCTCCCAGGACCCCTCCGCATTGAGTGACAAGTGGGGCCAAACTGCACCCGTGCTCCTGTGTGTGCCTGAACCGCAGCCTCAACCCATGGCTAAGCCTCACTCGGTGCCGGCAGGCATCGCCAGCTCGCAACAGATAGTTGGTGCATTGTTTTTCCATCGCGTAGGGGGGGGGGGGGCGGACATTTGCGCATGCGCTGTTATGTATTCTTGGTTTTGGGGGGTTGAGTTAATTTTTTTTTTTTGGTTTTTTGAGTGAAGGACATAGATTGCTTTGGTTGGTGTCTTGTCTCCAAATTTGGGGTCAGTTTTCCCAGTGGTTTTGGAGACATGTTAATCCCACAAATGAACACGCACACACACACACGTACGTGTGTGTGTGTGTGTGTGTGTGTGTGTGTGTGTGTGTGTGAAACCTAATGTCTCCTCCCTTCTTCTTCTTCTTCTTCTTCTTCTTCTTCTTCTTCTTCTTCTCTTTAGCCTGAGACCTGGGATGGACAAAGAAGTTCTGGGGATCCTGGTTTCCTACAAAGTGAAAGTGAACCTGATGGTCTCCCGAGGCGGGTGAGCGTGAGCACCGCTCTGTTGCGCCCTATGCGCCTCTTGGGCGCCAATGGGGAGCGCATTCGTGCTGCTCTTTGGTTATGTCTTGCCAGACTGAACATGCTCTTCTTTTCCCCTCAGCATCCTGGGAGATCTCACCTCGAGGTAAGCGTGGGCGGATCCGTTCGCCTCTGTCCTTGCCTGCCGTTTGTGCAGAGTCGGTGGGGCTGACCTCCCTCTCGGGGGTCCCCACTGAGGGCTTCCTGGCCGCCATCGTGCGCTCCCCTCCCGTTAACGCCACCCGTTTGCTCTTTCAGTGACGTCGGAGTGGAGGTGCCCGTCATCCTGATGCACCCGAAGCCAACAGACGGTGAGTAGCAGGCGTTTAGAAGAGGTGTAAGAAGCCAAACATTGGCCGGGAGTAACAAACCAGGATTAGCGAGGCTTGCTCAGCGGCCAGAGTTTCACTCTTGATGAAGGATCTTCTAAGGAATCCTTGATAAGCAAGAGATTCACGCCAGTGCCAAAAACAGACACGAGGTGGCGTTCAGAAACATAACAATTCATGAAAAATATTCACAAAAATAACCGTAAAAATATTTGAAGAAACATACAGAAAAATGTTAAGGGGGGAAAATCACAAAAAATATTTGCAGATAATAATCATAAAAATGTTCACAAAATTATTATTATTATTATTATTATTATTATTATTATTATTATTATCTTTATTTGTACCCCGCTAGCATCTCCCAAAGGACTCGATGCGGCTTACAAGGCCAAGGCCTCAATGAAACAACAATATAACAAATACACATAAACCATAAAGCAAAGCAAAACATTAAAGCAATAGGTTCTTGTGGGTTTTTTGGGGCTATAGAGCCATGTTCTGGAGGCATTTCTCCTGACGTTTCGCCTGCATCTATGGCAAGCATCCTCAGAGGGAGTGAGGTCTGTTGGAAATAGGTCTGTCCTAATTCCACAGACCTCACACCTCTGAGGATGCTTGCCATAGATGCAGGCGAAATGTCAGGAGAAATGCCTCTAGAACATGGCTCTATAGCCCAAAAAAACCACAAGAACCTAGTGATTCCAGCCATGAAAGCCTTCGACTATCCACTAAGATATTCACAAAAATGATCATTAAAATGTTGGCAGAAATATTCACAGAAATGTTTGTCAAAATAATCATAAAATTATTCACAAAAAGTAATCATTAAAATATCCTCAAACAAATCATTAAAATATTCACAGAAAATAATCAGAAAAATACAAAAATAATCAGAAAAATATCCACATGAATATTCAGAAAAATATCCAGTAACCTTTTCCTAACCAGTGTCTGTCTTCTCCTTCCTTCCTTCCTTCCTTCCCGACTTCTTCTCTTGGGATGCCTTCGTGACTAACAGCTACGCCAAGGTAAACGGGGCCGCGGTGTCGTGTTGTGGGTTCTGTTTGCACACCCATTTCCAGGCTGTTTTGCTCACCGTTCTCTCCCTCCCTCTCTCTGTGTCCTCCCTTCCTTCCTGCCTTCGTGTCCTTGGCCTTTGGTCTCCTGTCCAGGAGGTAACGAGGAATTTCTTACCCCCCTTTCGCTTTCGTTGCCGTTTGTGCAGCAAAGCTGTGCGACCCTTTCCGTGAACCCCTCTCTTTCCTTGCCGTCACGCCCTGAAAGTAATGGCTAAGGATGGGCTCAGCAGGGCAGTTCTATCTAGAAGTGCTCTCAAAGGGAACCTGGGATGATAAGAAGCGTCTCTCTCTTCTGAGCCCAGACTGCTGGAAAGAGCCCAGTGGCCACGGCCTCCTGCCCTCCCTTTCCCTTCCCTCCATCCCTCCCTTCTGCCTTCCTTCTTTTGTGGGGCTAAAAAGGGAGAGTAAACACACACAACACTCTTGCAAGGTAGGCAAGATCATTCCTCCTCCAAGGCAAACAGCTTGTCCCGATCCCCGAAATAATACTGCAGAGTCTTGGTCACTGTTAGCAGAGATTTAACAGCAGAGCCTCTGACATTGAATACGCGCCCTTGAGCTCTGGCTTTTGTCCAAACTCCTTTGGAAGTTTTTTATTCTTCTGTCTTTCTTTTTATTCTTCTTGCTACATCCAACTATTTACAGAGATACTCACAACCCTAGCAAGACCCTCCTCGCAGGATGAGGATTGTGATGGATTCCAGATGCAGAGAGGTCCTGGCAAAGAGTATAAAACAAACTCAGGGCAAAGAGGAAGTGCACCCACAAGCCCCTCCCACCCTCCCTCCCTTCCGCTGCCTCTCTAGGATCACAGCTCCCCTTTTCTCAACCCTTCAGTGGGCTGTGCTGTGAACACACGTGCATTAGAACTGTATTTCTCACTGGAGCTGCCTGCAGAGCCTTCCTATCTAATACAGCATTCTTCTGCCCGGCGTCTTCTGCCCTCCTTCCTCTCTTTTCCTCCCTCCCTCCCCCCTTTTCCTCCCTGGGCTCTGCCCGTGCTCAGAGGCAATGTTTGGTGTCTTCCTTCCTTTTCAGCGCGGAGGACATTGTGATCGAAGAATTCGCTCGGCAGAAGCTCAAGGGCGAGAAGGACGACGACGAAGAGAAGGAGGAGGAGGACAAAGGGGAGAGCTAATGCGCCTCCTTCCGGGCCGGGGGTGGGGGTGGGGGGCACGGCATTTCTTGGGCATCCATGTCCCAATACTAATACTAATACTGATATCAATAACAGCAATGCCTGTTGCTCCATCCGGGCTGGTCTTTTCCGCGTCCGCTTTGTTGCATCTCAGCCCCAGACCAGGCGGTAACGAGGCGTTTTCCGATAGTCAGGCTTTCCTGAAAGCGCCGTATTTGTAATTAGCAAAGCCAGGGTGCGTATGCCTATGTACCAACACGCAAACACCACGCATGGGACAGCACAGGAAACGGGGGCCCCACCTACTCCCAAGCCAGGCCAGGGGCACAAGATACAATTCTGTCAGCTTAGGATGTCTGTATGTTGTGAAAGATCTCAGAGAGGTGTACAATAAAATAATAAAGACGCCGCCCGTCTGACTGCCTCCGAGAATTGGAAACTAAGGCTGGGTGGCCATCTGTTGGGAGGGATTGGATGGTGTCTCTCGCTTGCCTGGCGGAAGGCATGGACGGTCTTTGAAGGGGGGGGGGAGGTAGGTGTTCCTTCTAATGCTCGGATTCTATGGTTTAATAAACAGGCTGGCCGGCCATCTGTCGGGAGGGTTTATATTGTGCTTGTCCTGCCTGCCTGCCTGGCAGAAGTAGAAAAGCCAGCAAGGGGAGACTCCCCAAAGACGTCAAAGGTTCCATTCCAAGGAGGTTCAGGCCCCCCCTCACAAAAATAGTCATAAGAATATTTGCACAAAGTCATCATAAAATATTTGCAAAAATATTCACAAAAAATCAAAAACTTACACAGAAAATATTAGCAAATAATAATAATAAAGTATTCACAGCAATAATAATAATATTCCCAAAAGTATTCCTTAAAATATTAGCAGAACTAATCACAAAAATGATCATAAAAATCTATGCAGAAATATTCACAACAATAATAAAACATGCAAATATATTCACAAAAATATTCATTCTCTTCTCTTCTCTTCTCTTCTCTTCCTTCCCTTCCTTTCACCATTTCTTCTCTTGTTTCCCTCTTTGTATTCTCTTTCTTTTTCCTTCTTTCTTTGTTTTCTCATTCCCTCTCTTTTTCCTACTTTTCTTTCTCTCCTCCTCTCTCCCTCCATTTTTGAGAAAGCAACAATGGGGTAGAGAGGATTCCCCTCGTTTGGAGCAAAATATAGAAAGGATAGGAAAGCAGACTTAAGGAGTAAGAAGAAGTAGTAGTAGTGGTGTTTAAGTCTAAAGCTTAGAGCAAGGGCTGGGTAAATGGTTTTGGAGGTCTGGATCCGCCTGTGGGCTGGCTGTAGTTTGGAGACCCTTCTAATGCAGTGTTTCCCAACTTGATGGTCTTAGGAACCCTTTTGGTAGAGAAGTCTGAAGATCTCTCCGCCTGTCCTTCTCTTCCTCTTTGGTGTTGGCTAACTACAACTCCCAGAATTCAAAAACAGCCTCCCCCCCCCCACCCCACCAATATTCAATGTTGGCCATGTAGGTAGTGCTCCAAGTTTGGTGCACATCCATTGTGGCCTGGATTCAGAGTGCTCTTTGACTGTAGGTTAACTAGAAATCCCAGCAACTCCAACTCCCAAATGTCTATTAAGGTCTATTTTCCCCCAACCTTCACCGGTGTTCACATTTGGGTATATTGAGTATTGGTACCAAGTTTGGTCCAGATCCATCATTGTTCGAGTCCACAGTGCTCTCTGAATGTAGCTGAACTACAGCTCTAAAATTCAAGGTCAATGCCCACCAAAGCCTTCCAGTATTTTCTGTTGGTGATGGGAGTTCGGTGTGCCAAGTTTGGTTCAATTCCATTGTTGATGGAGATCAGAATGCTCTTTGATTGCAGGTGAACTATAAATCTCAGCAACCACAACTCCAAATGTAAAAATCAGCCCCCCAACCCCACTAGTATTCAAACTTGGCAACATGGGGTATTTGTGCCAGATTTGGTCCAGTGAATGACAATACATCCTGCATATCAGATATGTACATAGTGATTCATAACAGGAGCAAAATGACCGTTATGAAGGAGCTCATGTTGTTGGGGGTCACCACAACATGAGGAACTGTATTAAGGGATCGTGGCATTAGGAAGGCTGGGAACCACTGCTCTAACTCCTCCAGCACAGTGTACTTACCTCGTTGTCCGAGTAGGATTGTCTTCCAAGATCGGTGTCCTGGCAGTGGGTGGCTGTGGATCCCTCTTCTTGATCCACATCTTCTCCCACAGTGAGGAGGGCATTGGTTTCCAGACGGAAGGTGGTCCCGGTCGGGGTTGGCTTGACACGCCTTCCTTGGCACGTTTCTCTCTTTCACCCTCCATTCGTGCCTCTTCAGATTCTGCAGCACTGCTGGTCACAGCTGACCTCCAGCTGGAGCGCTCAAGGGCCAGGGCTTCCCAGTTCTCAGTGTCTATGCCAGAGTTTTGACGGCTGGCTTTGAGCCCACCTTTCAATCTCTTTTCCAGTCCACCGACACTCCATTTTCCGTTCTTGTGTTGAGTCCCTTATATTGGGAGGAAGGCGGGAATAAAAGTAAATGAAATAAAAATCAATCCACTTCTACTATGATCTGACCATCGAATCATAGAATTTATAATGCTCTTAATGGCTTGGACTATTCATTTTCGGCGCTCCATGCAGTCATGCCTATGGCCACATGACCTTGGAGGTGTCTACGGACAACGCTGGCTCTTCAGCTTAGAAATGGAGATGAGCACCACACCCCAGAGTCAGACATGGCTGGACTTAATGTCAGGGGACTACCTTTACCTTTACCTATTCATTTTCAATATTTCTATGTTTCGTTAGCTTTTAATGTTTATGTTTCAAATTGTCCATTTTTGAGCGTTTTTCAGAGAGCGAAAGTGGGAGATGAATAAATGTAATCGTAAGCATAACAACAGATCTAGAAATGCCTCGAAAAGTGTCCTCTCTAAGCATGTGTATGTATACAAGGTATTGCTGGGTGGAGGAGCATCCCATGATTTTGGGAAGGCCTTTGACAAGGTCCCCATGATATATGAGATATGATAGCCATGGATAAATACCTGAGAGGAAGCCACAGGGAGAAGGAGGGAGCAAGCTTGTTTTTGCTGCCCTGGAGACTAGGATGCAATGGCTTCAAACTCCAAGAGAGGAGATTCCACCTGAACATGAGGAAGAACTTCCTGACTGTGAGAGCCGTTCAGCAGTGGAACTCTCTGCCCCGAGAGTGTGGTGGAGGCTCCTTCTTTGAAAGCTTTTAAACAGAGGCTTGATGGCCATCTGTTGGGGATGCTTTGAATGATTTCCCTGCTTCTTGGCAGATCTGAGAAAACTATGTCTTGATTTAAGTCGTTGACGTGCTGGCTGATACCCAAACAGGGGATGAGCTGGAGGTGTCTCTGCCTTGGTCCTTTCACTATTGGCTGCCGCTTCAGGTGGTGCAATACCGGCTAAGCAGTGTAATTTCTCCAGTGGTGTAGGGCGCAGGCACCCCGTGATAATGCGGCATGTCTCATTAAGACATTGATACTCCCATTGACACAGGTCAAGAGCAAAGGAGGACAGCGCCAGCCCTTGAGTGAGAAATAAAGCCCACGTTTTGCTTATTTAGGTATTCATGACACTCAAGAGCGGAACAACAGAGGATTCATCAGGTCTGTCCCTGCCAAATCGGGACATTTGTAAGGCATATAAATGCAAAAAGAACCATAACGGTTATTATTCTCACTGCCCTTGACAATGGCCATGCACATCAACAACAGGAAATGGACTCACTATCCCTTAATACGCATATAGGTTTTCAAAACTTGCAGTCCCCCCCCCCCACATACACACACACAAGGTAACAACAGGCCAACAAGAGTGACCACAATGCAGAAAAGGAGTGAAAGACGCCTACAGCCATACCTACACACGCCCGACCTCGTCTTGTCGGAAAGACCAGGCCAAGCATGAGTTGGAACAGGTAGGTGCCACCCTCTCACGTCTTCTTTACCTGGCTGAAATTGGCCCTGGCGGTGGGTCACGCAGGAAGGTTGCATGACTCTGATTATTATTATTATTATTATTATTATTATTATTATTATTAAAGATTGCCATGGCTCAATGATCTCAATGAGATGGCAGGTGAAGCCCTAATGCCTTCCCTGATTAGGAAACCTCCAATACCAAGTCCCAGAAGCACTTTATTAGAATTAAGATTGCCGCACACTGCACTTGCCTTATAATCCTTACACATCACCTGTCACATCAGCACTTTTTAACCCTGTACCCTTCACTCTGGCCCGGCCCAGTTTTATCGTGTTTTGATGTATTGTTTATTGCTTGTTGTTTAATATTGCTTTAACTGTTTTTAATTTGCTTTAGGTTGTGTATTGTTATATTGTGTTTTGAGGCCTTGGCCTTTGTAAGCCGCATCGAGTCCTTCGGGAGATGCTAGCGGGGTACAAATAAAGTTTAATAATAATAATAATAATAATAATAATAATAATAATATAATAATAATAATAATAATAATAATAATAATGGCCATTCCCTTTGCCGCCCTCTTGTGGACACAGGAATACTTACTCTTGCCTTGAGATTCTGATCTGCTTTCCTTTGCTGCCATCAAGTGGCCAAGTAGGGAAGTGCACCCTCGAGCTATGGAGGGCGCCTCTGTGCTGCCATCATGTGGCCATTGTGGAAAACAACAACACTAGATGATATTTCCTAGCAAAGGAGGAAAGCAGGAAAGACGAATAAGAAGAGAAGGGGGAAATGCCAGGAGGAAGGCAGAAAGAACTTTAAAAGGCAACAAATGGCCATGAACAATGGGGAACAGGCTCCCAGGCCCGTAGCCAGGATTTCGATTCGGGGGGGGGTGAGCTTTTTTCAGGGGGGTTGGGGGGCTGAGTTTCGGGGGGGGGGCTGAGTCTGAGTGAAAGAGGGTCTACCCTAGCAAACCTTTTGTATCGTTACCCCAAATACCCCTATGCATATGGGATATAGGAGCAGGGCCTTCTCAGTGGTGGCCCCTCACCTGTGGAACTCACTCCCGATGGATATCAGGACATCGACATCACTCCTGTCCTTCAGGAGGAAGGTAAAGACGTGGTTGTGGGACCAGGCCTTCGGGCAATCTGCCAACTAAGTAAGGACAACCAGACAAATAGGACCGGCAGGACTGATAACTGTGGAATGAAACCCTGAACTAGGAGAGAGCGAATATTGGCCGGCAATAAGGAGTAATTAAAGGTTTGTGTCGGTTTGTATGAATTTTTATGGGTTTCATGGGTTTTATCGGGTATAGCTATGATGTACTGTTGTTGTTTGCTATTTTGCGCTATTGTGTTTTATGATTGTTGTATGTTACGGGCATCGAATTGTGCCTTGGATGTGTAAGCCGCCCTGAGTCCCCTTCGGGGTGAGAAGGGCAGCG